AGGAGAAAGAGAAAAAAACCTTCACCTCGGTGAGCATTTCAAGGATAGGAGTGTTTAAAGCTGCTTTTGTTTATTTCTGTGCAGGTCTGAGTTTTCCGACACCCCGATCTTTGTCACAGCTCTTTGGTGGCTGCTTGGCCAGGGGGACACTGCTGATGGAACAATACGAGGATTTCACTAGCTTGGCTTTTCCCTTCTCTAGACATCAACTTTTGTCCTTGTCCTCTCCACACAGGATAGCTGGAAGGGATTTCTGGACATTTTCTAGTGCAACCCCCTGCTCTAGCAGGGCCACCGAGGGCCAGTTGCCCAGGACACATCAGAGTGGCTTCTTAAAATATCTCAGAATGGAGAGTCCACAACCCCTCAGGACAGCCAACCCCAGGGCTCTCATCCTCTCCTCATAAAAGAGAGGCTCCACTCCCTTCATCCCCTTGAGCTGGGCCAGTTCAGCCTCGAGAAGGATGGGCAGGAACTGACGCTCAGGAAATTCCACCTGGACAGGAGGAAGAAATTCTTAGCTGGGCAGTGACCCAGCACTGAATAGGTTGCCCAGAGAGGATGTGGAGTCTCCTCACTGGGGATATTCCAGGCTCATCTGGACACCATCCCGTGCCCTGAGCTCTGGGATGATGCTGAGTTTGGACCAGGTGACCCACTGTGGGTCCTTTCCAACCTTTCCCATTCTGTGATCACCTTCCTGGCCTCTCTTGTGCCTGTCCCTGTCTCTGTTGTCCTGGAATTCCAGCCCTGGGCACCCAAAAATGGCAGGAAAAGCCTGCTGAAGCCCGGGATTGAACCAGGGACCTTTAGATCTTCAGTCTAACGCTCTCCCAGCTGAGCTACTTCAGCCCTGCTGGAGCTCACGTTTTCACAAAACCTGTTGAAATATGAGGATCTTTCAGCCTTTTTGGGCAGCCTTTAGTTGATTTTGGCTGGAGGATCTGTGGAAATGGGGCAGGGAAACACTTCCTTTGGCATCAGAGAAGGGCTCTGTGGCCCACAGATCGTTGCAAGGAAAACAAGGCGATGGAGTTAAGTCTCTGCAGATCCAAAGCCACAGAAGGGGAAGCTGAATGTGAAGTGGCAAAGGTGGTGGAGGATGGAGAGAAGGACAAACTCACTGTAGGGAAGACTCAAGAGGTGACTGGGAAGAGGGTAAAAGGGACAATCAAACACAGACTCCTCTCTGTGCTGGTGGTGGGGACACTGTCTTGTCTCATTCCTCAGACCATCTCTCTTTCTCGTGCTGTTCAGGGTTTCACACTGGTCTGACATATCCAAATATACATATTGGATACATCTAAAATGCCCAAATCCCTTCCCTTTAGCATGTCCTGATGGGAAATAATAAATATAAGAAATAATAAATTGGGGCTCACTGTAGTTCCTGAAGACCAAAGTCCATATCACTGGGAAGAAATTCTTTGCTCAGAGAACTGGCACAGGCTTCCCAGAGAATCTGTGGCTGCCCCATCCCTGGAAGTGTTCAAGGCCATGTTGGACAGGGCTTGGAGCAGCCTGGTCTGGTGGAAGGTGAGTGGGACGAGATGATCTTGAAGGTCCTTTCCATCTCAAATCATCTTGGGCTTTTATGATAAAACACAGCTAAAATCTGCATTTAAACAGCAGCCTTGAGCTGAGAGCCATCAGGAGCATTAGCATTGAACAGACTTTCCTAACATCTTTTCACAGAGCCCACGGAAGGATCTGGAGTTATCCGTGGAGCCTGGCTAATCTTTGCACATCAATCTGTCTCCCTCCACCCAGGGAATGGGAGCCAGGCAGATTCCTGCAGTGAGATGGGACAGGTTTGCCCAGCCCACCAACTTCTCCTGCAAATGCTTCGCTCCCAGGGCCATCTCCCATCTTTCCCCAGCTCCAAATCCACGTCTTCCCAAAATACTTCTGTGAAATGTACGGTGAGTTTTCCGTGTCTGTCAAAAATCTGGTAGGGAAAGGTGTCAGAAATATATTTAATCTGGGCTTGAATGTTCAGCTCGACAGCAGCAGCAGCAGCTATTTCCTCCCAGGGATTTATTAGATAACAGTTCCTGGATATTTAGGGCTCCCAAACTAGGCTGTGGAATATCCAGACAACAGGAACATAGCCTAAGTGGGTTTTCTTCCTGCAAAAACGCTTCCATTCCTGGATCCCAGTGGTGATCCCACCCCTGGTCACTGAGGAACTGGTCACAGGTGTGGTTGAGGGTCTCAACATCTTTGTGTTTCTCAGGTGGGGGCCTTTTGGGCCAGCTGAGCAATGATACTCCCTCCCAGTTAAACTTCTAAATTGTCTCCCACATAGGACAGATCCAGCTCCTGAAAGCCCAGTGGTGCCAAGAGAAAGGTGCTCCAAGGTCTCTGGGCTGAACAAATCCATCTGTCTCAGCCTTTTCTCGCAGGAGAGGAGTTCCTTCTCTCTAACAATCTTTGTGGACCCCCCTGGACTTGCTCCAAAGTTGACAACTCACCACACCAGTGACTCAAGATGTTGAGCTGCCCCATCCCTGGAAGTGTCCAAAGCCAGGTTGGATGGGGCTTGGAGCAACCTGGGCTGGTGGAAGTTGTCCCTGCCCATGGCAGGAGGTTGGAAAGAGATGATCTTTAATGTCCAGGGCATCACTAAAGACCTTGGCCAAGAGACAACACAACCCAAACTCAGATTCCTCTATTTTGAGTCTGGCGGAGATGCTGAAATGAGAGGAACCTCCAGTATTGCTCAGGGGTTTGGAGCCTGAAGGCTGATTAGGTCTCAGCTCTGAAATGGGAATGAGCAATCCTTGCTCTCTCCTATTAAATATCTCTCTCATCTCCACCAGGAATCTCAAGATCCATAAGGAGAAGGTAGTTGGGAATTGGCCCCAGTAAATATTTTCAAGAACTCCTGCACTCTGCCCCCTGCAAAATCATTCCCCAAACCAGGCTGGGTGTTCAGAGCAGCTCTGATTGCATTTACCTACAGAAGGAGCAATTCCTTGAGCTCGGTGACTACAGCTCCTCCAAATCCAGCTTGGCTCAGCCTGCAGGGACTGAAAACTCTTCCTGGTCTATTTTTCCACGTTTGGATGCCGAAGGAAGTGAGAAAAAGGCTGGCAGAGCCCGATGATTGCTCAGATGATGATTATTGTGCGGCCCTTGTGCGTAAAGCTTTGCTTTGAAGGGTCATTAAAGCCTGGAGTGCAGCTTTGCTCCAGGCTTAGCTTTCCTTCAAAGGCT